TTTGTTCAACCAGTTTATTCCGCTAAAATTAAAGTCACCCATGACATAAATACTGTTAGATCTAGATGCTCTAGATATTTCATCCCATAGATGCTTTGCTTCCATTCTGTCTAAATTTGGTGGCCTATATATTACTCCTATTATAATATTATTAGCTTTTTCGTTTAATTCAATCCAAATAGTTTCTGTGTGTGGCTCTGTTTTGATTCCCTCTTTGAGACTACATTTCAAGTTGTCCCTAACATATATGGCTACTCCACCTCCTCGTCTAATATATCTATCTGTGTGAAATAGTTTAAATCCATATATTTGATATTCAGCTAATAGTTCTCTATTTTCTACATTCATCCACGTTTCGGTAAGTGCAATAATATCTATTTTTTCTGTGCAGACAAGAGCATTTAATTCGTTAATTTTATTTCTTAGACTTCTACTGTTAGTGTAATATACCCTAAGTGAATTGTTATTTTGCGGACCTTCTCTTTCCCTGATCGTTTTGCCAATTCCTTTCTCCCACAAACACATACTTTTATTACCTCCTTCCTCCAAATCAATTCCCATACCTCTATCTACTAACAGTTTAAACCCAAACAAACACCTCTAACCACTTCTTCTAGCGAGTTCGCAACAGCAACAACCCCAGCTCTCGATAGATGCACCCCATCACGAGCATACATTTCATTTCTTCCATAGAAGTGTTCCCAGTTGTCTATGAAAGATATTGCATTTGATTTGCAATATCTTTCCAGCCGGCAATTGACACCAAGTGCCCTCGATATCCATTCATTTCCCACTCCCTTTCTTGGAAGAATGCCACATATGATCGGGATTCCTCCCTTGCTCCTAACTAACTCTATGGCTGTTTTATACCTCTGAATCAGTTCCTCACTCCTGACTCGACCAACATCATTTCCTCCCACGCTAATGCAAATAATGGGATTGTTTCCATTACCAGCCATAATATCATTCATGTTGTTTATAATATCACCAATGCCAGCTCCGGGATAGCAAACCCTTAACCTGTTCCCCCTATCTCTAGCACAAAACGTTCTATCCAAATACCTTATCTGGGAATCTCCCACAACTAATGTTTGCTTAGGTACTTCCTTTACTTTCTGAGGGGCCTGCGCTTCCTTTCTCTTCGTTGCTTTCCCTTTTGCGCGATCCACAGTCTCTCCACAGCACTCGTCCTCCAAAACGTCAAATGAATTTGAAGTAGCTATGGCGTTTGAAGGCGGCTTTATCAAAGTCTTCTTAAGGCCCCTGTCTTTCGCAACTCTCCAAGACGAGGTCCCTTTACTGCTGGTCTCCTCCTTCGTTACTTCTCGTTGTTTTTTAAGCTGACGCACCTCCTCCCGCAGAGAGTCCAACTCTGTCCTCAGGGCTCCCACTAGAGTCACCAGGTCCTTCACTACAACTTCCATATTGCTATGGATTACTTCCTTAAGTAACACATTAAGGAACCAACACGTGGAAATTATATTTTAGACTTAGTTTTAACTAACAGGGAAACGCAAGTTAATGACATCGAAATAGGAAGTGAGCTAGGGAACAGTGAACAAAAAGAAATCAGATTTAGCATAGAATGGAATAGATTTATAGAAGATAATTCTCTTAAAGTGACATATTTTCGAAAAGCTGATTTTAATGGAGTAAGAATTTTTTGGGGTAAAATAGATTGGAAAGTTCTGGGCATGGGGAGTGGGCCGGTCTTGGAGTGAGATGTGAACCCAGCGACTGGTGATGTAAAAAGAGATCTGGATGTGGTTTCAAAATATGACTTATTTAAAAAATATTCTAAGCAAAGCACAGGGACGTAATATACCATACAAATTTAATAGATTGAATAATAATGACCCGAAATGGATAACAAAGGATCTGAAGAACCTTATAAATAGAAAGAGAGATTGGAAAAAAAGGATAAAGAATAGGAAATGTCAGTTTAGACCAAGAATTCGTCCACCTGTTTAGAAATGTTAAAAAAGAGATAAGGAAGGCAAAAAGAAACTATGATGTTCGCATAGCAGGGCCAGCAAAGACAAACCCTAATGGGTTTGTTCAGTTATATCGAACAAAGACTAGGGAAAGGATAATTCCTTTAAAAACTGAGACAGGTCATATAACGGATAATGACGAGGAGAGGAGTAGTATTTTTAATAAATATTTTATATTTGTATTTACTAAAGAGGCACTTAACAATATGCCTTCAGCCGAACAAGTCTATGTGGGTGGGGACGAGAACAGGTTGACTAGTTTACCAGTTACCAGGGTGAATGTAATTAAACAAATAGTAAAACTAAAAATAAACAAATCCCCAGGGCCGGATGAAGTGTTTGCCATGGTGCTTAAAGAATGCAAAGAGGAGCCTTGCAAGCAACTGTCTACCATATTTAATAAATCAATAGAGTCAGGCAGAGGCCAGAGTAGTGGAAGGTTGCTAATGTGATAGCAATTTTTAAGAAAGGAGAAAGATCACTTGCGTCAAACTATCGGCCAATTAGCCTAACGTCTATTGTGGGAAAGTTAGTTGAATCGATAACTGCAAATACAATTCGACTTCATCTTGAAAAACATAAATTAATAAATGAGTCGCAACATGGTTTTACAAATGGCCGTTCATGTTTAACAAATTTGCTAACTTTTTATTCCAGCATAGTTGAGGCAGTTGATAGTGGTAAGGATTGTGATGTTGTGTACCTTGACTTTAGCACAGCTTTTGATAAAGTGCCACATGAAAGACTGATTAAAAAGATAGAGGGGCATGGTATTGGGGATGCTATATTAAGCTGGATTAGGGCATGGCAATTCCAAAGGAAACAGAGAGAACATAAGAATAAAAGAACAAATGTAACTGCAGAAGGCCTTTTGGCCCAAACTAGGCAGCTCCTATTTATAACCACCCAATCCCACTCATATACATGTCCAACCCACGCTTGAAACAATCGAGGGACCCCACCTCCACCATGTTTCGTGGTAATTGGTTCCACAAATCTACAACTCTGTTGCCGACCCAGTATTTACCTAAGTCTTTCCTAAATCTAAACTTATTCAATTTATACCCATTGTTTCGTGTTCTGTCTTGTGTTGATACTTTTAATACCCTATTAATATCCCCTTTGTTATGTCCATTCATCCACTTGTGAACACTATCATGTCACCCCTAACTCTTCGCCTTTCCGGTGAATGCAATTTAAGCTTTGTAAATCTTTCTTCATATGAAAGATTTCTAATTTGGGGAATTAACTTTGTCATCCTATGCTGGACACGTTCCAGTGACAGAAGAACAACACCAGGTGTCCCGTTTGCCACATGAAAGACTGATTAAAAAGATAGAGTCTCATGGTATTGGGGGTGCTATATTAAGCTGGATTAGGGCATGGCTATACCAAAGGAAACAGAGAGTTAGTATAAATGGAATCAAGTCAGAGTGGGAAAATGTTGTAAGTGGAGTGCCTCAAGGCTCTGTCCTGGGACCTCTGTTGTTTATAATATATATAAATGATTTAGATTCAGGTTTGAGTAGCAACATTTGCAAATTTGCCGATGATACGAAAATCGGTAGGGAAATTAATTCGGAGGAGGACTCACTATCACTTCAAATTGATCTAGATAGGGTTTTGAAATGGTCAAAGGATTGGCAGATGCAGTTTAATGCTGATAAATGTAAAGTTCTGAGGTTAGGTAATGATGATAGAGTTACAAGATACGAGCTAGATGGTGTTGTGATTGCGAAGTCGGATTGCGAAAGGGATCTGGGAGTTATGATTAGTAAGAATTTAAAACAAAAGGATCAATGCATAAATGTTCGTAATAAGGCAAATCGGACACTTGGATTTATTAATCGCAGCGTTAGTAACAAGACACCTGGTGTGGTTCTCAAGCTATATCTTGCTCTAGTTAGGCCCCATTTAGATTATGCAGTTCAGTTTTGGTCGCCATATTATAGAATGGATATAAATTCACTTGAACGTGTCCAGCGTAGGATGACTAAGTTAATTCCCCAAATTAGAAATCTTTCATATGAAGAAAGATTAACAAAGCTTAAGTTGCATTCACTGGAAAGGCGAAGAGTTAGGGGTGACATGATAGAGGTTTACAAGTGGATGAATGGACATAACCGGGGGGATATTAATAGGGTATTAAAAGTATCAACACAGGACAGAACACGAAACAATGGGTATAAATTGGATAAGTTTAGATTTAGGAAAGACTTGGGTAAATACTGGTTCAGTAACAGGGTTGTTGATTTGTGGAACCAATTGCCGCGTAACATTGTGGAGGTGGGGTCCCTTGATTGTTTCAAGCATGGGTTGGACAAGTATATGAGTGGGATTGGGTGGTTATAGAATAGGAGCTGCCTCGTATGGGCCAATAGGCCTTCTGCAGTTACCTTTGTTCTTATGTTCTTATGTTCTTATGTACCAACGCTTCGACCACCAAATCCCAGCGTCTTATCTGCCATACTACGAACATTCATGCATTGATCCCTTGGTCCCAAATTTTTACCAATCACAACTCCCAGATCCCTCTCGCAATCCGACCCCGCAACCCCAACACCATCCAGCTCGCATCCCGTAACCCCATTATCATTACCCAGCCTCAACACTTTACATTTATCAGCATTAAACTGCATCTGCCAATCTTTTGACCATTTCAAAACCCTTTTTAGATCAACTTGAAGTGATAGTGAGTCTCCTTCCGTGTTAATTTTCCTACAGATTTGTGTATCATCGGCAAATTTGCAAATGTTGCTACTCAGACCTGAATTTAAATCATTTATATATATATTATAAACAACAGAGGGCCCCTCTGTTGTTCACACCTCTCAGAACCCCTCCCCTATCTCATGTGAGTTGACCTGTAAAAACACCAGCACACCCGACTATAATAGGGCAATTTTGCACTTGCTGAGAAAAAATGTCTATGACAAAATTGTTTGCAAAATACATATACATACAAGAATATTGGTAATAAATAATTCCATAAATTTTTCACTGCACCTCCACTTTCCTAAACCGAGAAGCAACGTTGATGGTTGGGAGGATGTCGACGGAGGTGATGGTGAAGAAGGCTCCCAGGTCGACCCTCCACCAGGAGAGTGACGGGGAGGTGCCCCGTGAGTGGTACTGCGTCGTGTTGTTGCCGTCCACAGCCCGAGGTGACACCATGCTGTTGAGGAGAAGTACGTGAGACACGAAGCTGTTGGGGGGAAGTACGTGAGACATGAAGCTTTGGGGGGAACTACGTGAGACAGGAAGCTGTTGGGGTAAGTACGTGAGACAGGATGATGTAGGGTAATTTGCAACGGTTTGCAAGAAAAAGTTGCAAGAAAATTAAATTATTCAATTGACAACGAAAATGATATTATAGAGATTTGAAAAACAATGCAACAGATGGGACAATGTGCAGAATCGGTCTAACCAACTTCGCTAATGCTGTACAGTGAACACAAGTCAGCCAGACGTACTCAGCTCTACATTTATGGCAGACATAAGAGTGTAGTTGCCAAAACACAACACAGGCAGTACAAGAGGATTCCGGTTTATTTAGCTCCATAAAGAAAAAGATATGCTTCAATATGTTCATAATAATTTCCAAGTTTTCCCCAAATGGTCCCAAAATTTTCTGTTTGAATTAACTTGAGGGACCATTCAAGCTTGCCGCACAAATGTTACTCACGTAGTTCCAGCATGATGAAGTGATTTGATGAAATATCTGTCCCAATAATATCACTTAGTGTTGTTAGTAATGGGGTTAAAGTCCACCACATACAAAACGTTGTTGCAATCTCCACAAACGTTGCCAAAGGGTTATGGGGATGTCAATTTGTAAAAATGCTGCAGAATGTATTTGAGCAACATTTATTTAAAAAATGATAAAAAAATAGCATATATAAGTTTTATAACATGCTGTTTTACTAAAACTATTTTATTTTTGATGTATTACAAACACATTTAACATATATAAATAACAAATTTATGTTCTTTCAGTAAAATTCACTAATGAACTGTGAATGTTATTTAATGGCTGTATGTAACATTCTTAAGGCATTTAGTTACTTGACGATTGGATTTAATTTGTCTTCATGATTTTGCTAAAATTTCCTCCTTAAATACAATTTGTCCCCTTATGTGTCCTAATAACATTAATATCATGTTTAAATATTCAATTTATGAATAATTCTTTAAAATACTTTATATAAATTGTAAATGTTGCTTGACTGATATGTTAAACATTAAAAAAAACATTGTATTATTAGAAGATCCTATTATTACCTTTCATGATTTAGCTAAGATTTTCTTTTCACATCACTATTAGTCTTTTTTTCTGTATTAACAAAATTATGTTTTCAGGTATGAATATTAAATGAAATTTAACTAAATGAAATTGTTGTATTTTATCAGTAAAATACAAAATTTTAAATATTGTGTCATAGTTGCATGAAAGTTATCTTGAGTGCTATGTTGAGATTATTTCGGGGCTTCAGTGTCCCCGCAGCCCGGTCCTCGACCAGGCCTACACCCCCAGGAAGCAGCCCGTGACAGCTGACTAACACCCAGGTACCTATTTTACTGCTAGGTAACAGGGGCATAGGGTGAAAGAAACTCTGCCCATTGTTTCTAGCCGGCGCCTGGGATCGAACCCAGGACCACAGGATCACAAGTCCAGTGTGCTGTCCGCTCGGCCGACCGGCTCCTGGAAAGTTGCTCCTGGAAGTTGATGGAAACATTTAATTTTTAAAAATAATTAGAGGTGGAGGAGGGGAGGGAGAGGCAGAAGTAGTGGTGGAGGAGGAGGAGGGGAGGGAGAGGCAGTAGTAGTGGTGGAGGTGGAGGAGGGGAGGGAGAGGCAGTAGTAGTGGTGGAGGAGGAGGGGAGGGAGAGGCAGTAGTAGTGGTGGAGGAGGAGGAGGGGAGGGAGAGGCAGTAGTAGTGGTGGAGGAGGAGGAGGAGGGGAAGGAGAGGCAGTAGTAGTGGTGGAGGAGGAGGAGGAGGGGAGGGAGAGGCAGTAGTAGTGGTGGAGGTGGAGGAGGGGAGGGAGAGGCAGTAGTAGTGGTGGAGGAGGAGGAGGAGGGGAAGGAGAGGCAGTAGTAGTGGTGGAGGAGGAGGAGGAGGGGAGGGAGAGGCAGTAGTAGTGGTGGAGGTGGAGGAGGGGAGGGAGAGGCAGTAGTAGTGGTGGAGGAGGGGAGGGAGAGGCAGTAGTAGTAGTGGTGGAGGAGGAGGAGGGGAGGGAGAGGCAGTAGTAGTGGTGGAGGAGGGGAGGGAGAGGCAGTAGTAGTGGTGGAGGAGGGGAGGGAGAGGCAGTAGTAGTGGTGGAGGAGGAGGAGGAGGAGGGGAAGGAGAGGCAGCAGTAGTAGTGGTGGAGGAGGAGGAGGGGAGGGAGAGGCAGTAGTAGTGGTGGAGGAGGAGGAGGGGAGGGAGAGGCAGTAGTAGTGGTGGAGGAGGGGAGGGAGAGGCAGTAGTAGTGGTGGAGGAGGAGGAGGAGGGGAGGGAGAGGCAGTAGTAGTAGTGGTGGAGGAGGAGGAGGGGAGGGAGAGGCAGTAGTAGTGGTGGAGGTGGAGTAGGGGAGGGAGAGGCAGTAGTAGTGGTGGAGGAGGGGAGGGAGAGGCAGTAGTAGTGGTGGAGGAGGAGGAGGGGAGGGAGAGGCAGTAGTAGTAGTGGTGGAGGAGGAGGAGGGGAGGGAGAGGCAGTAGTAGTAGTGGTGGAGGAGGAGGAGGGGAGGGAGAGGCAGTAGTAGTGGTGGAGGAGGAGGAGGGGAGGGAGAGGCAGTAGTAGTGGAGGAGGAGGGAGAGGCAGTAGTAGTGGTGGAGGAGGGGGAGGGGAGGTAGAGGCAGAAGTAGTGGTGGTGGAGGAGGAGGAGGGGAGGGAGAGGCAGTAGTAGTGATGGAGGAGGAGGAGGGGAGGGAGAGTCAGTAGTAGTGGTGGAGGGAGAGGAGGAGGGGAGGGGAGGTAGAGGCAGAGGTAGTGGTGGAGGAGGAGGAGGGGAAGGAGAGGCAGTAGTAGTGGAGGAGGAGGAGGAGGAGGAGGAGGAGGGGAGGTAGAGGCAGTAGTAGTGGTGGAGGTGGAGGAGGGGAGGGAGAGGCAGTAGTAGTAGTGATTGCTCTATTTTTGTATTCAATCAATTTTAAGTGGGGCATATCGATGTAAAATTAAAAGTGGTTCAATTTGCTTATAAACTGTTTTATGAAATGGTTATAGAAAGGGCTGCAGCTGGTCCAAGTTTCATCATCACACCCTAAACAGAAAAGGAGAAAAAAAATAAACAACGAATTATGCAACGAATTTTCAAATAGTTTCAGGGAACACATGTGTCAACTAAAATCATTTCTATAACACTCAGATATTAAATTAAGCACATAATAAAGGATTCTAGTGATCAGTTTTACCAAAAAAGTGTTAAGTGCAATAATATAATTTTTCAAAGTTACCCTACTAAAAAAATATGCAATATATGATATTTATAAATTTTTATAAAATCAACAAATAGACTTTGGACTAAAATGTCTACTAGAGTCTGTAGAAGCAGAAACGCTACATATAAGGTGTAATTTGCATGTAAATTGATTAATAAATGAAAGCTCTGAAGTAATTTGAAGGTGTAAATTACTTTCCAGAGTAAAATAAAGATCCAAGTTCGGCCACCTGTAGCTGAGCTTGACTTCAACAGATTTCGTTCATAATTGGCACCCTTGCAGATAGGCATCCATTGAGCAAGGTGTACAAGTTTCATGCAAATCCCTTGATAACAAACGAGAAAAAAAAATTGGCCAAAAAAAAAAAAAAAAAAAAGAAAAAGAAAAAAAAAATTAAATATAAATATATTGAACATACATATTACAATTATTACAAGAGTTTGTGCTTCTACAGCACATAGTAGACATTTTAGTTGACACATGTGTTCCCTGAGATTATTTGAGAATGTTGAACATTCGTTGCATAATACGTTGTGTATTTTTTTTCTCCTTTTCTGTTTAGGGTGTGATGGTGAAACTTGGACCAGATGCAGCCCTTTCTATAACCATTTCATAAAAAAATTTATAAGCAAATTGAACAATTTTAATTTATAACGATATTTTTTGATATGCCCCCTTAATCAAGTTTTGTAAATTAAAGATCTCTGAATACCTAGGAACATAATTCTGGAAAACTTTAATAAATGGTGAAAACTAGATATATAGTAGTAAAATTCTGGAAGAGTGAAAATATAGACAATTTTCCACATAGAACTGTTTTCTAGTTAAAACTCTATAGTGTGAAAGTTATTGCACTGTGCCTGGAACAAGTGGTTCTAGATATGGTAATTGTTGTCATCTTCTTGCTTAGCGGTCATTGTTAGCGAGAGGGGAACACATGGATGGTCGAAGATCTAATGATGTTTTAGCTAGATTTTAGAGAGGGGGTAGGGATATTGAATCTAGTTATATCAAATCAGGGAAAAGGATGTTTTGTTGTTTAAACATTGAAAAGTTTGCTGGTATGTCAACCTCACAGTCAGGATTCAAATGAGTGGATTCAGCTTTTTTGATGCTGGTTAATATTATACAATCTGCAGATTGTAAATTGTTTAGATAGGGTTGATTTTTATTTTTTTAGTCATTGATTTAATTTTATATAAATTAAAGGATTTGGATAAGGAACAACATGTTAATTTGTATTCTCACAATTGTTTCTTAAGAGTTTGAGCGAGGGGGTTGTCCCAGCCTAATTGTTTATAATATTGTATTCTTAATAAATTGGATTGTATAACACGCTCGCATGTTACTTACTGCGGGAGTGAGCTGCTGACCGGGCCTTGACATTACAAATCAGTGCAAGGGTAGAAATTAAAAATGTTGTCACGTATAATTTTGTATGTAAAGTTACCTCAGATGGTTGCTCTTTTAAAAGAATAAATTCTCTATACTCCTTGGCTGTATGCTAAAGGAAGGAGTAAAGATTGATATAGTCAGGTATGTCATCTGTCAAAAAATGTATATATAGAAAGAGTGGCTGACTTTGGTGAGCCGGAAACACCAACCTTAGGTCAGGTCGCCAGAGGGAGAGGCTGGTCTAACCCCCCCTCTTCCCCCCACCCCACCAATTCAAACCTCCACTCTTCATCAAGAGCATTACTTACTGTTGAGAGTATTGTATATCGGAGTCTTGCTCCAAGCTATTTCACAAAGAAAGA